TAATTTTCAAAAACAAATTTCTTACATTTTTTTAATTCCTTTCATTTTTAAGGTTGTCATTCGCCCCATGATGTATGTTGCCCTTACATACGATCACCGATTGATTGATGGTCGTGAGGCTGTTATGTTCTTGCGTAAAATTAAGGCTGCCGTTGAAGATCCTAGAATTATTTTAGCTGGCTTGTAAACTAAAAAAACCAAACAGCTCCGTGATCCCCTACTCTTCTCTTTATCTCTTAGACCACAAGTTAATACGTATTCGGGAAAAAAGCAAACAAACAAACATTCAAAACCAACAAAGATCTAAGGCATATAGCTTAATGTTGCAATATACTAGTATCCTTTAAATTCACCAAAAACTAAAACTTAAAAACAACATCAAAACTTGTTTCATAAATTCTATACAAATTTTTATTATTTTATAATAGATAAAGGAATAAACGTACATATTGTTACAAGCCTTCTATACGACTCTAATCTATTCTACAAGTCCTTCCTTTATTTTTTCACAATACTACAATTTTTATGTTTGTGTAATGATTTATTTTATTTATTAAAAACAAGAAACAACAAATCACAAAAGAAATGTCTTTGACACACTGACAAAACAAAATGCAGATTGTTTTATTTATAAATCTGTGCGGGTTCTTATGTGGAATGCATTTTCGGAATATCTAACTATAAAGGGGTCCTGGGCCATAGGAGTAATCGATTGACTAAAGAACCGAAGCAAGGTTTTCATATTTTGTTCGTTGGGAGTACACTAGTGCGTTTGTTTAAGAATATAGCATACTTTTAGGCACTTTGCATAATTCAATTCATTCACAATAAATTCTTTTAAATAGTTCTTTCGACTGAATTTCATTAGTCGACCAGACGTGGAAGAATCAAAAATCACTTCACGAAGACCCTTAAGACACTTTGGTTGGTTTGGTTAAAGGATGCGTAGTTACAAGGATTCGACAACTGCTTCACTCAAAGACCTTTGGTCCATTTTGCTCATAAACATTTTGGCGATAGGAAAGATAAGTAAAAAAAACATCAAGTTCGGCCGGGCCAAACTTTTAATACCCTCCACCTTAGGGTAAAGGAAACATTAGAAGAAACGTGGCAAAAACCATTAAAATGCCGAATATCGGGAGGTAGCATTATATGGGGGCTATACCAAATCGTGGATCTACACATGCAATGTTTCGCCAACGGAGCTAGAACACATTATGACCTACATATACCAATTTTCAGACAAATACGTGAAAAAATGTGGCAAAAATCATCAAATTACCGAATATCGTGAGGTACCGTTATATGGCGGCTATACCAAAACACGGACCTATAATTACAATGACTCGCCACACGAACTGGGACCCATTATGATCTACAACTACCAATTTTCAGAGAAATTCGTGAAAAAATGTGTCAAAAATCGTCAAAATACCGAATATTGGGAGGTACCGTTATATGGGGACTATACCAAAACGTGGACCTATACATACAATGTTTCGCCACACGAACTAGGACCCATTATGACCTACAAATACCAATTTTTAGACAAATCAGTGAAAAAATGTGGCAAAAACAATAAAATACCTAATATCGGGAGGTACCGTTATATGGGGGCTATACCAAATCGTGGACCCATACATGCAATGTTTCGCTACCGGAGCTGGAACCCATTATGACCAACAAATACCAATTTTTAGACAAATTCGTAAAAAATGTGGCAAAAATAATCAAAATACCGAATATCGGGAGGTACCTTTATATGGGGGTTATACCAAAACGTGGACTTATACATGCAATGTTTTGCCATACGTACAGGGACAAATACCAATTTTCAGACAAATCCGTGAAAAAATGTGGCAATAACCATCAAAATACCGAATATCGGGAGGTACCGTTATATGGGGACTATACCAGAACGTGGACCGATATATCTCATTTTCAATACCAACCATCCTAGTCACAATACAAATTGCTCTGCTAAATTTTGGCGCTCTACGTCAAATAATGTGGGCTGTATCGTGATTTCAACAGACAGACGGACAGACAGGCGGACATCGTTAAATTGGCTTAGAATTTTATGCTGATTATGAATATATATACTTTATGGGGCCTGCGACGAATATTTAAGGATGTTACAAACGGAATGACAAAGTTAATATACCCTCATTCCAAGGTGGAGGGTATACAAAGGAGAAGTAAAGATTTATAGAGCTTTTTCTATCTGCCTCCTGCCAAATAGCCTATTTCGTACATCGCAGTAGCTCGCTCAACGACTGGAATATGCTGTCAAATGTTACCCATAGGATTTTGCAGTAATCCGCGGTCGGATTTAATTTTCCCCTGACATTTAGTTTCCGTTACCACAACATCTGAAGGATTGGGTTACTGAGTTTTCCAATTGTTAAGGAAAGTGCGGCGTTTAGAGGTTATGAAATCCGGTGATCTGCTTATGGAGACGATTATCGGGAGATGGACTGACACAAGAAAATTGACGGGTTGTAAGGCCACGTCATGTAACAGACCGGGTGTACAAAAACAACAGAAGCAACGACACTATCATATGCTTTGTTGATGCAGATTGGTGACAATGATTTTTAACGTTTATCAGACCAAGTGTACAAAAACAGCAATAGCAACAACACTATCATACGCTTTGTTGTTGTAGCAGTAGTCCATTTCAATGTTTGCGTTCGGCTAATCTGGTTCAAGCTCTAGGTTTAAAAATTCGGCTACTTTAAGGGGCATAGCCAGAGTTCTTCAGTAGTAAGTTGTGTAGGTTTTGCTGTGCAATTAAAGTGGTGCAGTGCGGGCCTGTATCACACGCCGGAGAGACGTCGCGCACAACTTCGTTAATTCGTGCCCAATACGAATTGAGACGTCTTCATCATCTCGAACGTAATTGAGCCAGAACTACCCTGGTTTGTCTAGGCAGTTGGCGTTCTTCAGCTGCAATGGATGGGGGTGGACTCCGAGGACGGCATTCATTCTATGACTGCTGATAGCATCCGCGAATGCATCGGTATGAATGTCACTGAGACGTGCCAGATAGGCTTCTTGATCTAGAGATTCTCTCTTATAGCGTTGGACCTCCCTCTCTAGATCGTGTATGTCATTCCTGACACGCCTGGGCGGGGGAGTTGTATCCACCATATGATGGTTGGGATGACTCTCACGGTAACACCCCAGCAGGTACTGCAACGAAAGCATGTGATTATGCTGACGTAAGGGAAGGACTTTCGCCTCCTCATGTAGATGGTCCACTGGTGTCATAAGGAGGCACCCTGTCGCAATTCTCAGGGCAGCAAGATGGCAGGTCTGTATGTACTTCCACGGCGTAGCACTATTATCACACACTGGGGACCGTATAGCTGATCACAGATCGATCTATCTATAAGAGGTCAATAAGGTTTCTTTATCTGCACCCAAGTGCTGCCGGCTAGCGCCGGAAGTTAGCCGTGGCTTGCGCGTACGACTTAACTTGCTGTCGAATGTGACCCCTAGAATCTTGGGGTAGTTCGTGTCGGTATTAAATTCCCCTCGACCTGCACATTTTTTCCCTCTTATGCTCCTGTTGACTTCCATTTTCAACCAGATTCTAGGATCAGTAGGGTTGGTACGACGGAGATCATCACGCTCGTTTGCTAATCCCGCTGCCTCTGCTGGGAAGTTTGGTCTTATCTCGGGTATTAGACCAGCAGGTGATAGATCGAAAAATCCGTTCTGCTACCCGAACATCAGAAGAGTTGGGCAGTTCTCTGAAGCGGCAGTTGGTGAATTCTCTGAACGCTGGCCAGTGAGCATTCCCATGGTTAAGGAAAGTGCGGCATTCAGAGGATATGAAATCGGGCGACCTGCTTATGGAGACAATTATCGGGAGATGGTTTGAGCCAAGAGAAATGACGGGTTGCCAAGTCACGTCTTTTATCAGACCGGGTGACACTATGGTTAAGTCTGGCGGGATATACACATTAAGCACCTCTACCTCGGCAGTTCCACACTTGACTGCTACCCCCATACATTCCATGTATGGGTCACTAGAGACTAGCTCAAGCGAGATAGGTCTGTACTGAACAGAATGGTGCAACAGGAATGCTAATCCACCACCTCTAGTTCTGGTGCGATCCTTTCATAGTACGTTGTTACCATAACAACGTTGTAGACTGTAATTTTCATTCAGCTTGGTTTCCTGCACCTCTTCGATCTTAATATTCCTCCGACTCATAAATTCCACTATCTCATCTATTTTGCCTCGGAGTCCGTTGCAATAGAATTGCAAGGATGATGCACAGTCCGGATTTGAAACAGCAACATGTGGAGTTATGTGCTGCGGTGTTGGTTGCCCATTCTCTACATACATTACATCGCACCGAAACAGATCTGTGGTGGATGACGTTCTGACAAACCGAGCAGAACCAAGGGGCAGGGTTTTCCTCAATCCCGGCACCGACCAATAAAATCCGGAGCAAGTATTCCGGGATATGCTGTTCCGAATGCAGAAAAATAAATAAACACAAACATGTACATACTGGGTTGGCAACCGCTGGCCGAAACTGGGATCTTGTTGTTTCGGGTCAATCCGGCATCGTAGAACCCCCTACCGTGGGATTAGTTAGAATGGTAGTCTGTCTAGCCAGTAAATGATGATGGAAACAGGTGTACAAAATCAACAACACTATCATATGCTTTGTTGGTGCAGATTGGTGATAAAGATTTTCAACATTTTTGTTTTTGTCTCGTTTGCAGCTATGCCTACACACTTAAGAGTATTTGGCAAGAGTAGAATCTGCTCGATTTTTAGCGAATTTTACTCCCAATCGAAAACGAGCAAATCATTCTCCCTCTTCTATTCGATTTATATTTTTACTCACAGGAGTACTTCCTCTCAAATTCGAGTAAAGAGTGAAACAGCCTCGAGTTTTTCGAAGCAGTGTCTTAAAGGATGAACCAAGAATACTTAAACTCATTGCATTAACTCATAAATAAAACAATACTTTAAAGTTATTAAAATAAAAATAAATACATTTATTTAAAAATACTTTGTTCTAAATTTTTACACTACAATTTCCTATTACTTCTTAGGCTAAACATCGAATGCGCCCTTGTTGTAAATGAAGGGAAACCATTGGCGCATTGAATTGACAAAGACGGGTGCGGTTTGAACTTTGTAACGGAAGGCATCAGCCTCTGGTCCCATTTTCAACATGTTCTCCATATTGGCATCCTTGTCGTTGGGATAGAGGATATTGGCCGTGACAATGGTGGAAGTGAATTGTGCTGAAAGAGAAACGTCAACATTAATATTTCCCCCACATCACTTCAAAATAGCTCCGCCAAAACTTACCCCAATACGAATTACTGATCATCATTAGCTGCAAATCTTTAAGGCTGGGAATTTTCTTGGAGTAATTCAACAATTTCAAACATTCCACCAAACGTTTGTGATATGCTGCAATTAAACTATCGAATTCTTGGACCCGAATATCAACCTGAACGGAGGTGGTAAAGAAATACCACAAATCCTGTGTGGGGCTACCCCATTTGCATAACTGGAAATCAACAAAGAGACTTTTCTTCACATTGCCCTCCTTGTCGTGGGAAAACATAATGTTATTCGTCCACATATCACCGTGATTGAGAACATTGAATGCATCCGGATCGATTTTATTGATGTTTATGTTCACATTGTAATACGTTTCAAAATCCATTCGTTTCTCTTCAAATTTCTCCATATCCTGCAGACCCCAATCGCGCATTGCTTTGAACCATCCCTCGGTACGTGGCTCATACATGGCAGCAAAAATATGTTTGTTGGCTTCGGACAAGAAACTGCGCTGGAATATTTCATCATAGGCTCCATTTATTTCTCCCCACACAGCAGAGGCTGCATGAAGTTCGGCCAATTTTTGAAATACCAAGCGGCTATATTTCGAATCGAAACCCTTCAAACGATCCATATTCTTAAAGTTGTCTTTACTTAAATCTTCCATTATTAAGACGGTTCGTTCGGGTGTATCTTCGCAATGTAGACATTTTGGCGCAAGCTGTATCTCCACACCGGCTTCTTTATAGAGTTTCTCAAATTTAGCCAAATAATCGGAATACATTTTCATTTCTTTGGGAAAGAGGTTCATGGATTTGACAAATTCAGAACCCTGATTGCCGCTCTCCAATACGGTTTTGAGGATATATGAGACTTGTTTTGAGGCGCCATCTGTAAGAAAGAGATAAATAGCATATTGGAGATTGTTCATTGATAAGTGAAAATGTTTTTATAATAAAGGAGAATATCGGGGAAAGGGGAACCCTTTCAATACATTCCACTTGGAATATGCTAAGAATATGTTATAAACAGACCTTGGAGTCATTAGAAATAAATTAGATTGAATTTTCCGAAACAATTAACTGTAATAACCAAAAGTCGTTGCACTTGTTTTTGGATACAAGACAATTAATTTAACGGACACACTAGCCCCCTAGTAAAAGTTAGTAATTCTAACATAAACTACGACCGAAAACACCTAGTGGCAAAGAGCTGAATTAAATCACCTCCGTAATAGAAACAAGTTAAAAAGCAGTAAGCTCGGCCGGGCCGAACTTTGAATACCCTCACCATTTGAAAGAATTTGGAAATTTTCAAAAAATAAAATCTGTTAAAAAATAAAATCCGAATATAGCCATTATATTGGGGTCTACAGGACGTGGACCTACATAGGCATTGTTGTCATGAGCCATTACCATATTCAAATTCGAAACTTGAAATTAACGGTGAATAATATAGCTAAACTCATCGAAATACCGTGTATATGAAGGTTCCGTTATATCGGAGCTATACGAAGACCTGGACCTGCACAGACAATTTTCTGTCACAGGCTGTTGCATCCATTACGAACTTCAAATACGACATCTCAAAAAATTTCTGTGAGTATTGTAAAATCATCAAAATACCGAATATCGGGAGGTACCGTTATATGGGGGCTATATCAAAACATGGACCTGCACAGACAGTTTTCTGCCATAGGCTGTAGTATCCATTACGAACTTCAACTACTAAAATTGAAACAATTCCGCTGATTAATGTCGCTAAAATCTTCAAAATGCCGAATATCGGGAGGTACCGTTATATGAGGGCTATATCAAAACGTGGACCTGCACAGACAATTTTCTGTCATAAGTTGTAATATCTATTACGAACTTCAAATACCAAATTTGAAACAATTCCGGTGAGTTATGTCGCTAAAATCTTTAAAATACCGAATATGGGGAGGTACTATTATATGGGGACTATATGAAGACGTAGACCTGCACAGACAATTTTCTGGCTTAGGCTGTAGTATCCATTTCGAACTTCAAATATCAAATTTTAAACAATTCCGGTGGATAATGTCGCGAAGATCATCAAAATACCGAATTTAGGGAGGTACTGTTATATGGGGGCTATACGAAGACGTGGACCTGCACAGACAATTTTCTGTCTTGGGCTGTAGTATATATTTCGAACTTCAAATACCAAATTTGAAACAATTTCGGTGAATAATGTCGCTAAAATCATCAATATACCGAATATCGGGAGGTACCGTTATATGGGGGCTATATAAAAACGTGGACCTATATGGCCCATTTACGAACTTAACCTGCCTACTGGCAAAATAAAATTTTAGCCCTCTATCTCAATTCGTTCGAAAGATAGCGTGATTACAACAGACGGACATCGCTAAATCGACTTAGAATTTTACGCTGATCAAGAGTATATATCGAGGGGTTACAAACGGAATGACAAATTTAATATACCCTCCATAGTATGGTGGAGGGTATAAAAAAGCGGCTCCGAAATGCAATGCACAGTAAAAAAGAGGTGTCCTAGAGTTGTTCGAGGTCAGTCCTCTGTTGAAGGCTGATGAGTCAAGAGGGTTTTGTAACGTTCCATTGGAAATAGTAGCAGTAGTTAGTGTTTCGATGAAGTACCCTTGACTGCAATTTTTTGGGTTTTGTAGTAAGGCTGGAAATACATAAAGAGCATATTTGGCTGGCTTAAGTCACCGACTGGCTTCTTCGTAGATGAACAAAGGAGTTTTAGGTTGACTTAGTTCGATTTTGGGTCTAGGCTCCTTTGTTCATTTCCGAAGAAGCCAGCCGATGACTTAAGCCAGCCAAATATGCTCTTTATGTATTTTCAGCCTAAGAGTTTAGTGGGGTTTGCAACGTTCCTTAATGTCTAACATTCGAGAAGTGTGCGTTCTCTCGTAAGTACAGAGGGGTTTTCAACGTTCCTCTTACTTCTAAGAGAATTGTGTGTCAGCCTTACAGTTGAGTGGGGTTTGTAACTTTGACATCTGTGGATATTGAGTGAGTTCTTTTGTAAGAACACTCTCTCTTTTAAACTTTTTATACCCTACACCACATAGTGGTAAGGGTACTATGTCTTTGTGCATTTGTTTGTAACATGGAGAATGAAGCGAGATAGACCCATAATTACTTTTGAAGATCTTCATAGAATCACTTTCTGAATCGATTTATGCATGTCAGTCCCTCCGTCCGTCTGGCCAAACAAAATGCAGGTTGCATTTATTATCCGATTGAGATGAAATTTTCCAAACAATGTTTGTTTGGCCCAAAGACGAACTCTATTGAAATTGGTGAGAATCGATTCAAATTTAGAAATAGCCAACATATATATATCTTTGACCCATTTCGGGTTAATTGTTCACCAAATGGCTGATATCAGCCCAAATGGACAGAATTTTGACAATAACGACTGAATTCATCCTAGAAATCAGTTCTTTAAATTTGGTGAAAATCGGTTCAGATATAGCTAGATTCCCATATATTTGTTTCATCCGATGTGGGGTTTTATTTCCCTCACATGCGTAATAAGCACTCCACAACAATAACCTTTGGTAACAAATATCGGATACAGCTCAGAAATAAGTGTTTAACATTTGGTCGAGATCGGTTCTGAATTGTATACAACTCCCATATATATCTTTATCAGATATCACGCTTTTTGTGCACAAAATGGCTAATATTAGCCCAAATGAACTGAATTTTAGCATTTCCTAAGGAATTCAGTGAAAATCATTTCAGATATAGCTATAGCTCCCATATATATATATTTCATCCGATTTGGTTTTAAAGTCCCTCACATCCTTAATATGCACTCCACAACAATGATATTTGATACCGGGCATCTTCATTCTATATTACGGTTTTTGCTCACTAGGGTCTGTTCCAGAACTGCAAGAATGTAAGGCTTTTTACAACAATGACCGATTTTTCCTTAATGATTAGATTTTTTCATATTCAACCGAATTTTACCATTTGGTAAAATTCAGTCCAATTTTTCAAATTTTTTAATACAATCCTTATCGAAGTCATATTATGCAATATACAGCAATATTATTTGGCTCATAGTTGGTTGATTCCCAATATAAACTTTTTGTTACGGGATATAGTCGGCCTGCCCCACTTTTGACGTTTACATAAAAGGCTTTTTTGGCAAGCTTAAGTCATCGGCTGGCAAAAAACAATTGAGTTTTAGACTTAAGTCAGTCAAAAAGCGTTTTATGTATTCTCACCTTTACGGGTTTTAAACAAGGTTAAGTCGTACTAACCTTAGTATTCTTAAGAAAACCTAGGTATTCCCTGCCTTACCCCCTGGTAAACATTACCATCGTTCTCCACTAATAAACAAACGTTGTTTTTATAAAAACAACAATAAAGGGATAAGCCTGACCATTTTGCAACAACGAAATATTTTAAAAATAAATTTTTAATGTATTATGGCCACTCATCAAAGAAAGACGTACTTTCCGTGTAAAAAATATAGATCTCCGTTTACATTGATTCTTCGAGCCCCATAAATTCTAAAGAACTTGTCTTAATTTCGAGGAAATTTTTTAAGCTAGTCTGAAGGAGAGTAAAAGTATGGCTGGAGGAAATTTATCAGCCAATGCAAATGATGCTGAGCCACAAAACTTCGGCAGAGAAGCCTGTGGTGGCGGTGTGCACACTTACCGAAGGGGCTTCATATTTGAGATCTTTAGACAGAAGGGATGAGGCTATAAGTCCATATCCCAGGAGGATGAATCGATGGAATGACGAAAATTCTTTTCTATGACACGAAATCAAAGGAAGATCCATGCTGCTTTTGTCCAGATCATAAGACAGACAAAAGACGTCTAAGCAACAGACGGTTCAAAAAATGCAATGTAAGGCATCATACGCAATAAGAATAAAAAAGTTTAAAGGTGGTTTTAGCTATAGAAGTAGCCGTGTGTAATAAATATGCCCGGTTATTAGAGGAAGCAAAGCGTGAAATGGCGGAACTACGAGTAACGAACATAAAGCTTGAATGTAGCCTGAAGGTTGCTGTAGATGCCAATGTTGGCATTAAAGAAATGTTACTGTTTTTAAACGTCCAGGTTCAGCGAGATCTTAAGTTAAATTATGATGAGAACGAATATAAGTGCTGTGTTCTCAAAAATTCGGTGCAGGAACTCAAATCCGAAATGGTGGCTGCAGAGGAGAGAGCATATGCAGTAAGAATTCATGCAAACCACGCCGTAAAGTCTTTGGGGAAGGAAGTAAATCTGCTTTCGGAAGGTTTGTTTTTTTTTTGGAGGAGCTTGTGCGAGCAAACGCGAATATAGCACTAAATACTGGGAAAGACAAAAAAGTTGGAGTTGAAGACATCATTACTGAAGTTAAAGTAGGGAAGAAGCACAATCAAGTTCTGAAGGCTTGAAAGACTACTGGCCCAAATTCTTTCTCTGAGAGAGTAAGATAGATTTATTTTCCTTTGTAAGAGTAAACAGACATGTTTTGTCAAAACCAAAAAAAAATTGTCATCAAATAAAACAAAGGAACTCCAAAAATTGTATTTTTTTTAAATAAAAGAGAAAATAAACCAGAAAAGAAGATTTTCCATTTGTTCAACAAAACAAAGGCTTTTCAAATTGCTAGCACAAAATAAGTCACAAGATAAATAAGTCGCAAAAAGAAGAGGAGTTGTAGTAAGTAATTGTCGCCAAAAATTGGCAAACTCTCCATAAAATACATTTCAAAATTTCCCTCTCGGATCGGTCTATTTTGCAACAGTTTGATCCGCCCAATCTTAAACACGTTTTTAGATGGTTAAGAAAATGCTTAGGAGGACCTGGATTTTTCGGATGGCTATGCATTCTTACCTGTCAATATAACATCAATGACAACCCGCACCATAATCGATGTGTAATTTTCCCCTGGGGCTGTTGCAGCGACTGCTGTGAATTTGGAAACTTCCTTAAAGTTGTCAACATCTTTTTCGAGAATGGGTACAAAATATGTCTCATTGATCCATTCGGGTATCTTCAAGTATTCATTGGGATTGATGATCTCGTTGTCATTACTGTTGGGCGCCATAATTGTGCTGGTATGTTATATGTTATGCTTATCTGAAAAGATAACGCGAAATATTTATTTACATTAATAATTATGATAATGTGACATACAAATGGAGGGGGGAGATAAATAAGACTCCAAACTGTGTTAAGGAAAATGTGTGAATTAAATTCCGTTGAGACTGTCAAACCGAAATAAGAGATTAATTTTTGCACTATCTTTGGGTTATACGTTTGTGGGAGAATGGATATACACATACAAAAATCTCAAATTTTAAAAGATTCCGGAGAGTATTGATTTTAAAGAAACACTCCGCTTCAAAGACAAAAACAAAGAATGGTATACCCTTTTCATGAGGAATGACAAGCGTCAATGTTTGGCAAATCATGCCTCAAATTTCGGTAATTTTCATTACCAAAGGTGCATCTTGAATAATTTTAATAAACGGCATATCAATAATTAATTAATATTCATTTGAGTTGCCGTAAGTACACCTTTACAAATAGTCACATATTAATAACACGTTTTCAAATCAAGACGCAGTTGTCGATATTTGGACGTATAATTATATTTAATTTATTCGATGTATTAAAACAGCTAACGCTCATTATTATTCGTACATGGGTGTAGATACCGATGACTATTTGTAGCACCAATACTAATTTGTAATCAATATTTTCTTCTTCTTCCGTACGTGACTTTCGCTATTGACTTTGATATTATTTTCGACTTTAAATTAGATATACATATGCAGGTACATATTATTTAGAAATGTAGAAAATTTGGACTGACTTCAGCATAATTATTAATGCTGTTTTAATCTCAAGTAAAGTCCATTGTTGTCATTACGTGCTATCACTGACGTAAGCAAAGGGAGTAGCTGGCTAAGTATGGGAATAATTAAGCGCTTATTTGGCTGGCTTCTTCGGCAATGAACAAAGGAGCCTAGGGCCAAAATCGAACTATGCCAACCTAAAACATCTTTGTCCCTCTACGAAGAAGCCAACTGATGACTTAAGCCAGCCAAATAAGCGCTTTATGTATTCCCACAATAAGAATCAAATTTATCACAAAGCTAATTTTTTTGTAATCCCAGTAACAATTTAGGGGCTGCATGAGCAGATTAATACATTTCAATGTATTAATGTAAACAAGACAGCTTCTATATTACCCGTAGGTTGGAAATAATGGGGTATACAATGGAACAATGAAAACAATGTAGGATAAGTTACAAATCAAAACTAAGCAGCTTCCAGGTGGTGAGTTTTTGTACGCGCTTTAGATTTCGCCCTACGATACTAAATTTTTTTCTGTTATCCGATCAGATATAATCTCAAATATTGTACAACTGTTTCATTGGATGTTGTGTGACCTTTATTGACCCACTCTCGCTTTCAGCTTCATGGCTGCTATGGCTTCCTCAACCTATTCTATATTGGGGAATTGGTAAAAACGGCTACTTTTTTACGAAAAGTGCTGAATAGTACTATAATTGGTGTTGAGTGAGGGATATAGCTGGAATCCCGAAATTTTATACTGAGCTCTCTGTATCTGGGATAGAGATATGTGTACTTTTTTGACTCGCTTGAGGGTTAAAATTGTCAACCAAATCTTTCTCGTATATTTATCTACAATATTACCGAAGACACAATATATCTATTATTATATTCAGATGCAGCTCACTATCGATTTTTCACTTGCCATATACAAAGTCATTGGGGTCAAAAATATTCGGAGTGGATTAGGTTTTTCTATTGTCGATCCGGTAAATTTTATCAAAAAGTCAAAATAAGACAAACTTTCGAAATCTTTATTCATTTTTTTTGAAACTTCGAACGTTCTAATATTTTTGTCAATGTTAGATTAAATGAAAACATTTTGAAACATTACTGGTGCCAGTATGCACTTATTAGACTCATTACATGGTAATGCGATTTTTTTTTGCTGGGAATGCTCGTAATAGTGGCTGAGAACATGGAGTACATGATCGTCAGTTTAACCCCATCAGCAAACAGTTGGTGCTAAAATATACTCAACAAACCCATTATTTGGTAATGAGAATTAGTGAAAGCCTGTAGCGACGTATCTAGATATGTGTTTCGAAAATATTTCAAGACGACGGGTGCAACCCGCAAGAACATTTCACGAAAATAATCATTTCGAAGTGGGACTAGGACCCAAACCTCGACCTTCCATACGCCGAACCTTCCGAATTTAGTTTTCTCTGATGATTCGACATTCGTTGTCCAGCAGTTTGTAAACAAACAAAATGATCGTGTTTACTTGTCAAAGAGGCCAGTTGAAAATGTGCACCTTCTGTTGGCCACCAGAACTCAAGCGTCTGCCATAACAGCCGATGGTGGCATCAGAATAAATGTCGAGTATTATCGCGAAAATATTCTAGAGGGTGTATTAAAGTCTTGGGCACGCAAACATTTTGGCCGCAGACCTTGGACATTCCAACAGGACTCAGCACCATCGCACTCAGCACGCGCCACCCAAGAATGGTTACAAAATGAGGTTCCTCGCTTCAATTCCGGTGCACAATGACCACAAAAATCTTCGGATACCAATCCGTTGGACTATTGTGTCTGGAGAATTTCGGAAAGCAAGGTTGGCTCTAAAAATATCAAAGTGTCGATCACCTAAAGCAAGCGGTTTGCCGCGAATGAGCCAAAATAACATAGAGCAACATTCGGGCAGCGTTTGACGGTTTCATTGGTCATTTGAAAGCCATAATTCGTGCCAAAGGTGACCAACTCGAACAAATCTAAACTTTTTCTAAAATTTTATGCTATTTCCGACATTTTTTGCTTTCATTCAATAAAATTAAAAAAAAATAAAAATTATGGTGTTTGAGGCTCCTGTTTTAGTATGGTTCCCATATAACGGTTCCAACCATTTTCCTACCGATCTTGCTGAAGTTTGCAGTTTAATGTGGAATACGTTCGAATCCAAATAGCATAAAAATGTTTTCTTTACACAATGGTGGAGGGTAATAGAACCTCGACCCGGCCGAACTTAATGTCTCCTTACTTCTTCATCAATAATTTTAATTGCCCTAATTTGACACACATTTTATGGCAGAGTATAAAAACCCGTCTGCATTGGCAAAATCGATTATAAAATTCATAATTTAGTCTACACACGCCGGTCAATACACTTGAAGATTAAATCTACCGATTTTTATCACCAGACGAGAGTATTCGAAAAAATGTGTTCCACTGAGAGATACCCAAAACAGCTAACATAATATATGTGTGAGCAAATTTAAATGCCATTTTCCATTCAAAATTTCAACAATTATTTGCCACAATATGTCAATTTAAATATTTCATTATAAAGTAATTAAATGTATTTTGTATTTAAGTAAATTTTATTTAACTCGTCGCCCACACACTCACATCTGTTTGTTTTTTTTTGTGATTTCACGGATCACCCTTAGCTGTACGTTCCGATCAAGCCGAATTCACTCGAGCGACTAATTTCGTTTACGGTTTGAAATCAATTTCAATACGGCAGTGCAGCTGAGTCTGTGCTCTGCTAGATTTGTATAAAAGATTGACGGTGTAAATCAAAACGTTTAATTTTTGGGTCCTAAAAAAGTTCTCTGAAGAATGGGTGGGAAAAAGGGGTAGCGACAGCCAGAACAAAGAATGGAGAGAGATCTCAATTAGAGCCTCAGAGAAAAAGAAGCGGTTTTGGCCACAAAGAAACCATTGATAAAATTTGGCGAACCTCAGAAGAGCGAATAGAAACTAACCGATATTTTAGTTTCTACAGCAAATGGGAGAGCGAAACATGATAAACATGTTGGGGTAGTCACAAGCCAGCGCTGAGTCAAAAAAACTTGTGAAAGTTGACGCAAAACTGATCGTTTTTTGCTTATCATGGTTACCCATAATCTTTAACAGAATACAACATTTGGTGGCGCGTGTTCAGGTCCAAAGTGCAAAATAAGTGGGCATCCCAACGATATCTCTATCGAAATTATCTTTTTAATGCCCAGACTTAGTTTGAAGATAAATTTGAACAGTCATCGATTTAAAGAAAAAGTTAATTATTTTTCCGGGACTTTTTAACCTTTAGAACATGCCGGCAAAAGGAATATTAAAATAACAACAACTAATAACCTGTAAGATATTTAAAAACATCCTCACCTGTTGAATATGGGTTCACCATTGGCTCAACTATTGATTACGGCTTTACCACTAGCTCAAATTCAGCTATTGAAAATAGGTTCACCACTGGCTCACCTATTGAAAATAGGTTCACCACTGGCTCACATATTGAAAATAGGTTCACCACGGGCTCACCTATTGAAAATAGGTTCACCACTGGCTCACCTATTGAAAATAGGTTCACCACTGGCTCACCTATTGAAAATAGGTTCACCACTGGCTCACATATTGAAAATAGGTTCACCACGGGCTCACCCATTGATGATTGGTTCACCACTGGCTCACCTATTGCAGATAACTTAACCACTGGCTCACCTATTGAGGATAGGTTCACCACTAGCGCACCTATTGGAAAATAGGTTCACCACCTATTGAAAATAGGTTCACCACTGGTTCACCTATTGAAAAAGGTTCACCACTGGCTCTCCTATTGAAAATAGTTTAAACACTAGGCTCGCGTATTGAAAATAGGTTCACTACTGGCTTACCTATTGCAAATAGGTTCACCACTGACTCACCTATTGCAAATAGTTTCACCACTGGCTCACCTATTGAAAATATGATTACCACTGGCTCACCTATTGAAAATAGGTTCACCACTGGCTCATCTATTGAAAATAGGTTCACCACTGGCTCACCTATTGAAGATAGGTTCACCACTGGCTCACCTATTGAAGATAGGTTCACCACTGGCTCACCTATTGAAGATAGGTTCACCACTGGCTCACCTATTGAAGATAGGTTCACCACTGGCTCACCTATTGAAGATAGATTCACCACTGGCTCACCTATTGAAGATAGGTTCACCACTGGCTCACCTATTGAAGATAGGTTCACCACTGGCTCACCTATTGAAGATAGGTTCACCACTGGCTCACCTATTGAAGATAGGTTCACCACTGGCTCACCTATTGAAGATAGGTTCACCACTGGCTCACCTATTGAAGATAGGTTCACCACTGGCTCACCTATTGAAGATAGGTTTACCACTGGCTCACCTATTGAAGATAGGTTCACCACTGGCTCACCTATTGAAGATAGGTTCACCACTGGCTCACCTATTGAAATATAGGTTCACCACTGGCTCACCTATTGAAAATAGGTTCACAAGGCTCATCTATTGAAAATAGGTTCACCACTGGCTCATCCATTGCAAAATGGGTTCACCTCTGGCTCACTAATGGTCATATCATAGATGTCATTTGATATTTTCCGGTTCTCAGTGATTAGAAAGTTTCATTAAAATATTTTCCATAAATTTATTACATATCGTCTCGCAAATATTCTAATAAAAAATTACATATTTTAATAATAACCTATGTACTCGTTTCCTATTTCCATTTATGGGTTAGCAAACAATTTTACATGCTTGAATATGGTTGTGTAACAACAAATAATTAATTGTTTAATAAACAAAGAATTATCATTGATGAAGCTAAATGAATATGTTCGTCGTTAATTGGGATTGTACATGCATGCATGAGGGGCAAACCGATATCAAAGCTAAACGATTTCAATTGATGAATGACATTGAGTATTGTGAGATCAATGAGATGTGAAATAGTTTTTCCGTTATTAACAGAGATCGGCTTTACATATCGAGCGATTTCCGACTTCTGGGGCCAAAGTACATTCGAACAAATTTAGATGGAAAAAAATAATTTTTATACCCTCCACCTTGGAAAGGAGGGTATATTAACTTTGTCATTCCGTTTGTAACATCCCTAAATATTCGTTTTAGACCCCATAAAGTATATATATTCATAATCAGCATAAAATTCTAAGTCGATTTAACGATGTCCGTCTGTCTGTCTGTCCGTCTATCTGTCTGTCTGTCCGTCTGTCTGTTGAAATCACGATACAGCCCACATTATTTGACGTAGAGCTCCAAAATTTAGCAGAGCTATTTGCATTGTGTCTAGGATGGTTGGTATTGAAAATGAGATATATCGGTCCACGTTCTGGTATAGTCCCCATATAACGGTACCTCCCGATATTCGGTATTTTGATGATTTATGCCACATTTTTTCACGGATTTGTCTTAAAATTGGTATTTGTAGGTCATAGCGGGTCCCTGAGCGTGTGTCAAAACATTGCATGTATAAGTCCACGTTGTGGTATAGCCCCCATATAAAGGTACCTCCCGATATTTAGTATTTTAGTTTTTTTTTACCACATTTTTCACCGATTTGTCTAAAAATTGGTATTTGTGGGTCATAATGGTTTCCAGCTTCGGTGGCGGAACATTGCATGTATGGGTCCATAATTTGGTATAGTCCCCATATAACGGTACCTCCCGATATTCGGTATTTTGATGATTTATGCCACATTTTTTCACGGATTTGTCTTAAAATTGGTATTTGTAGGTCATAGCGGGTCCCTGAGCGTGTGGCAAAACATTGCATGTATAGGTCCACGTTGTGGTATAGCCCCCATATAAAAGTACCTCCCGATATTTAGTATTTTAGTTTTTTTTACCACATTTTTTCACGGATTTGTCTGAAAATCGGTATTTGTTGGTCATAATGGGTTCCAGCTCCGGTGGCGAAACATTGTAATTATAGGTCCACGTTTTGGTATAGCCCCCATATAACGGTACCTCCCCATAATCGGCATTTTAATGGTTTTTGCCACATTTCTTCTAATGTTTCTTTTACCCTAAGGTGGAGGGTATTAAAAGTTTGGCCCGGCCGAACTTAATGTTTTTTTACTTGTTTATAGAAAAAACTGAAGTCTAAGTCTAACAATTGGTTGTTTCTAAAGACCACAAATTGGTCTCTTGGTCTGTTAAACCTTTCTTGAATTCTCACCTATAGAAAATATTCGCCCACTGTCCTTAAGATATTAAAATTCAAGATAATAATACTATAAATTATTTGTTTATCATGGCACATTTGTTGTTGTTGGTGTTTTTAAAATAATAATGATGTATTTGTGGTTCGTATTATGCGACCGATTGCGTCAAGTGTTGTTAACCCTATTTTACTACCATTTTTTTAATGTGAACCTCAACCGGTTTTTTGTAAATTACTAACAATAAAGTTGTTGCTATTGTTGTTCGTTTTATTTGAAATGTTTCCGTTGATAAATTCTCTCTGTCGTGATGATGGACTTTGACATTGATTGGTACGAGTAGTGTAAACATGGCCGCACATTTTTCTGCTTAATTTATATTTAATAATACAAATTTACTTTCGTCGTGTATCAGGGTGGAACGAATATCTGTGAGAAATTACGTATCGATTATCATTGATAATGGACAGGTTTTTATTAAAAAAAATATATTGTCAAAAGATTTTGGGGTCTTGACATATAGACATAGGCCAATGAACCACACTGGATTTGAGAGTCCATTTCATTTGATAGAATTGACAATTTAAATCCACTCCATTTAGTGAGTGTAAACGTACTTTTATTCTTTTGAATTAATATGTTGTTTAGAATGATAAATTCGTTTAAAAGTTGTTATAATGCCATAGAGCCCTGCCCTTAGGTTTTTGAACGGGGGCATTTGTCCAATATTTACGCACTTCAAAACAATTTCACACGAAAATTGTTGTCATTTTACAGCCATATTAAATCCAGTGGTCATCCAAAATGCAATACTTCTTTCCTGTCCTTAACTCTCTTCTTTTGCTAAATTTCGTGTCGATTGGTTTTCAATTGTGACCTGCTTTTTTGCATCATTTTACTACACCGATTTTTCTTTATTCGTACAACTTATATTGAAATACAATGGATCTTTGTTTAAAATATCATAATTTGGAATACCAACACTTTAATCGTCTGTGTCAAATCCGTTTCATTTGTATTCCCTCTAAAAGCCATTGTTTAAAATACCAATCACTATAGTAACAATAACCTGTTCTATACAATTTTTTAAAGCAAAAGTTTGCAGAAATGTCGCTTCAATCAATAAAGAAAAATAAATTTATTTTTTAATGGCTTTTGTGTTCACTTAAGTACAAAAGTACGTACATTACATTTTTAAGATCAAGAAATAATAAAATATTAAATTAATAATATTGTACACTTTTTGTAAGAAGATAAACAAATAGTTAATATGACGATGTCCCTAGAATAATTATCTGAGTCGATTTTTATACCCTACACCACATAGTGGTAAAGGTATTATGTCTTTGTGCATTTGTTTGTAACATGGAGATTGAGATGAAAATTTCCAAACAATATTTCTTTGGTCCAAGTTGGTGAGAATCGGTTCAAATATAGATATAGCTCCATATTCATCATCCACCGATTTCGGGTTAGTTCTCCATTATGACCTGAATTTTGGTACATCCGACCGAATTCAGTCTAGAAGCAAGTACATAAAATTTGGAGAAAATCGGTTTAGATACAGTTATAGCTCCCATATATATGTTTCATCCAATATGGTGTTTAAATCCCTTAAATTCGTTACATGTACTTCACAGGAATGATATTTGGTACCAGATATCGGATACAGCACAAAAATAGTTGTTTTTAATTTGATCAAAATCGGTTCATATTTGGATATATCTCCCATATATATATCTTCATTCGATTTCGGATTAATTATGCACCAAATGTCCAATATCAGCCAAAATGGCCTGAATTTTGGCCCATCCGACCATATTTGGCCTAGAAGAAAGTACATAATATTTAGTGAAAATCGGTCCAGATATAGCTAAAGCTCCCATATATATGCTTCATCCGATTTGGTCTTTAAGTCCCTCACATTCCCAATATGCACTCCACAGCCGTGATATTTGGCAACAGATATCAGATACAGCCCAGAAATAGCTGCTTTAAATTTTACCAACATCTCTTCTCTATTGATATAGCTCCTATATATTGAGCACCAAATGCCCAATTTCAGCTCAAACGACCTGAATGATACATTCGACTAGGCTAGAAGCAAATGCATCAAATTTGGTAAAAAACGGTTCAGATATAGCTTTAGCTTCCATACATATGTTTCATCCGATTTGGTGTTTAAATCTCCCACTTTCGGAATGTGCACCTGCAATAATGATATTTTGTACCAAATATCTCATAGAGCCCAGAATTGCCCAATATAAACCTTTTTTTACGAGAGCTCTACTAAATATGCATAGTAGTGTAGGGTATCATATAGTCGGCCCCGCCCGACTTTTGACCTTCCCTTACTGGTTCATTGTCATATTTTTAGGCGATTTTCCTAGATTTTATCCCTTTCTGACAAGAGACCATTCCGAATTAATGAGAATTGTGAAGGTCAGTTCAGTGATTCTTGACTTATAAACAGAATAACTAAGATCTATTTATTTTACATATATATATATTGTACCTATTTTGCTATATATCCGATGTCTTGGCTATCAGCATCACTGTAATGGTCCGAAATGTCCTTTTAATGCTTTTGTGATTTGGCCGGGACTAAAAATATACGCGGTTTAGTGGAAATTTTCGTATTTTTATACCCTCCACCTTGGAAAGGAGGGTATATTAACTTTGTCATTCCGTTTGTAACATCTTTAAATATTCGTCGTAGACCCCATAAAGTATATATATTCATAATCAGCATAAAATTCTAAGTCGATTTAACGATGTCCGTCTGTCTGTCTGTCTGTTGAAATCACGATACAGCCCACATTATTTGACGTAGAGCGCCAAAATTTAGCAGAGCAATTGGTATTGTGTCTAGGATGGTTGGTATTGAAAATGAGATATATCGGTCCACGTTCTGGTATAGTCCCCATATAACGGTACCTCCCGATATTCGGTATTTTGATGATTTATGCCACATTTTTTCACGGATTTGTCTGAAAATTGGTATTTGTGGGTCATAACGGGTCCATGTATGTGTGGCAAAACATAGCATGTATAGGTCCACGTTTTGGTATAGCCTTCATATAATGGTACCTTCGATATTTTGATTATTTTTGCCACAGTTTTTAACGGATTTGTCTAAAAATTGGTATTTGTTGGTCATAATGAGTTCCAGCTCCGGTGGCGAAACATTGCATGTATGGGTCCATGATTTGGTATAACGGTACCTCCCGATATTCGGTATTTTGATGGTTTTTGCAACATTTTTTCACTGATTTGTTTTTTGGTTTTTGCAACATTTTTTCACTGATTTGTGTAAAAATTAGTATTTATGAGTCATAATGGGTCCTAGTTCGTGTGGCGAAACATTGTATGTATAGGTCCACGTTTTGGTATAGTCCCCATATAACGGTAGCTCCCAATATTCGGTATTTTGATGATTTTTGACTGATTTTTTCACGAATTTCACTGAAAATTTGGTAGTTGTCGATCATAATAGGTCCCAGTTCGAGTGGCGAGTCATTGTAATTATAGGTCCACGTTTTGGTATAGCCCCCATATAACGGTACCTCCCGATATTCGGTAATTTGATGATTTTTGCCCCTTTTTTCACGTATTTGTCTGAAAATTGGTATTTGTAGGTCATAATGGGTTCTAGCTCCGTTGGCGGAACCTTCCATGTGTAGGTCCACGATTTGGTAGAGCCCCCATATAACGGTACCTCCCGATATTCGGCATTTTAATGGTTTTTGCCACATTTCTTCTAATGTTTCCTTTACCCTAAGGTGGAGGGTATTAAAAGTTTGGCCCGGCCGAACTTAATGTTTTTTTACTTGTTTTATATAAAAGTTGAAGTTCATTTTACCCGCTAAATATTGTTCGATTACCTTCCAATTTGGGAGGTTTTTGGTTTATAATTGTGGCCAGTAGAGCAACAGCAAAATCAGGCATTTTTCCTTTTTTGGTCCATTTCAATCCATAAACATTTTTCGATCATCATCAAAAATAATAGGCTTCTATTTTGACCCTAACCCCACATCCATTTTCAATTTTGGAAGTTTCGGGATTTAATTGCGACCTCTAGAGTGATTTCAAAGAATCATGGACAGATGAACGGACATACATAGCTAGATCGACTCAACTCGGCGAGATAGGAAGATCCATATATAGTTTCCTATGTCGGTGACCAATATTTCGAGGTGTTACGTAATGTTTGGCCCAATCTAACTTATAATACCCCCAATATATAGTGTGGTAGGGTGTAAATATTCATATACTGTTCGCATTTTTTGATATCTTTCTAAATAATCAAACAAACTAAACATTTCATTACATTTGTATTGACAGTAATTCTGACAGCACTATCCATACTGTTTGCCATAATTTTTCACTTTACCTTATATTCATTGTACCATGATGGCGGCCCTGTTAACAAATTCTTCTCCATATATGCCTTTCCTTTTACCTTCGAATGAATGCCCGTTTTAACTTATTTTTAAGCCTAGGAGTTTCTTGTTGTAGTTTGGCCCCACCGAGTTTTCAACATATTTATTCGTTTAAGGTATTTGTAAAATACATACAAAGTTTATAATAAACACAAACAACAATAACAAATAGCGAATCTCTTTGAAAAAAATCATCGCAATTTTCACTTCCAGTCCAGCAAACCGCGATTATCTAGCCACGGCAAAAGTTCCATCATTGCCTGGCAGTATTTATGATTTCCGTACATATCAGCCTTCAATTTCGATTCATCAATTAGATAATTTTCCAATTTGGCATCACTGGTTTTCTCCAACATGACAATGGGCAACACTTTTGAAGCGACCATATAAGCTGGAAAGTTAGAGAACAGAAAAATGGTTTAAAATAATGATTCAAATTTAGTTTCAATAAAATTCAAGGGTTAGAATGTTGTTATTTTTGAATATTTGCAGTTAAATGAAATGTGCATTTTATTTTATTGTCACCGAGGTGGCGGTTATCTGCTACAACACTGGATAGCTATCGGGATAATCGTCTCACTGACGTTTAAACAATCACAATGGCCGTGGTCTCTAGTATAAAGGTACACTTTTAAGAGCTTTAATATTATCAATATAACAATAACCAAACCGACGTATTAGGGCGTTCTCACTTTAAATCATTAGTCTCCTCATACCTCACTCTGTTGCTATTACCTGGAATACAACAAAGCTTAATGCAATCACGCATTTAAATGAGGGCTTTCTTGGAGTCAAGAGTGTCTCTTCATTTAATAGCACTGGACTTGATAGGGCCGCCTGACTATCGACATATATAGTCGCTGGTCCTTTTATGCTATTGCGGAGTTCTTTTTCGGCTACTTTTTTGATTGTAAAAATTTCCGCCTGAAACACGCTGCCATCGTTTCTAAATAACAGAATACGCCAGCACTGGTCAATTTCTCCCCCGTCTGTGTACATGGCCACACCGTCCTAGGGAGGTTCGCCACCAGTCCAGACGTTCCTATTAGTTATTGTAACGTCAGTTGAAGTTGAAAAAGGTTGATATGTAATTACTTATTGTATTTACTTCACCTAGGATATTCCGACATATTGGTATGGATTCGTACATGATCAATGCGTGAACGGTGAAATTCTTCACCTTCCCATAGTCTGTAAATTGAGCTAAAATATCCACCTTAGCAACACATTCAATGCAAATTGGGAAGTACTGTAGAGAACTCCTATTGTCAGTAAGGAACCTGCATGGTGGTTAATTTTGATCCTGGATCAATCGCATGCCAACCCACGAGAACACCAAGCCCAAAGTCTTCTCTAGGAATACAACACGGTGACGCTCTTTACACGAGAAATGATTCAGCGCAACTCCATCCGGTACTGGCAGGGAAAATTGATTTATTTTGGGTTTTAATAGCACAAGTTCAGTCTATGCCGGGTCAAGGACCCAACCAGACAATTGTATTATTAGGTCGGAAATAGTTGCTAGAAATCTATCTCTAATCAGCACCACTATGTCATCGGCATATGCGACTTTCTTTATTCGAAATTGGTTGAAACTCGTAATTATTTGAAGTTCGTAATAAATACTACAGCCTAAGACAGAAAATTGTCTGTGCTTGTCCACGTCTTCGTATAGCCCCCATATAACGGAACCTCTCGATATTCGATACTTTGTTGATTTTAGCGGCATTATTCACCGGAATTCTTTCAAACTTGGTATTTGATGTTCGTAATAGCCTATAGCCTATGACAGAATATTGTCTGTGCAGGTCCACGTTTTGGTATAGTACCTCCCCATGTATAGACCCTAATATAACGGCTACATTCGGCATTTTTAAGGTTTTGACAGCATTTTTAAAGGATTTTATTTTTATGAAAATTACAAAAATCATTCCAAATGGTGGACGGTAGTCAAAGTTCGGCCCGGCCGAACGTTTTTACTTTTTTTCAATCAGAAGTACTCGTGAGCGTTGAGAGGTAACTTCTTGTATAACTTGTACTCTTCGAGCGTCCAATCTCATCAGTAAAAAGCCCAACATTATCTCCGCCCGTTCGAATTACATTTAAAATGTTTCAAATTAAAAACAGAATACTCTAATTGCAATTCAAAATCTAAGATTTTAAACAAATTACATCTAAAAAGCGTAGAGTTCAATGCGACAAAAATAAAACATACCCGCCAGACCATTCCTTAGCAGAGCTGCATGAATTGCTGTCAGTTTGGGCAGGGGACGATGATATTGCAGCAATTTCAAATTCTCCACTAAATTATCATAATAGAATCGAACCATATAATCGAATTGAGCGGTTTTAATGTCTTTCTTGGCCGAAGAGAGGATAACATAGAACAGATCATTGGCGGGTGAACCATATTTGGCAACTTGGAAATCCACGAAGAGAGTTTGTTTGATTTTGCCAAAGGCATCGTATTGGAACATGATATTGTTGGTCCACAAATCGCCATGATTTAGGACATTAAATTGGCGATTGTCTACACGTTGATCTTCCAGCAGGCGATCAACCAGATATTCATCGGAGTTCATCTGTAAACGAGAGGAAGAGAGAGAGAGAGAGAAAGAGAGAAAGAGACTGAGTTCGGATTTTCTTTATAAATTTATTCCTCCTCTTACCAACTTCTCATAATATTGCTGGCAATTTTTCCATTTCTTCAATTGATTCAAAAATGCTCCCGAAGCATTGAACTCCTTTAACAAATCCTTATTTTTGGTATTGAAAATTCCCACAGTGAAATCTTCTCCAAACGTCCCATAATGTTCGACATAACATGCCGAGGCAGCATGGAATTCGGCAATTTTCTTGAGAACCTCTTTCATGTGATCCATATCGAGACCCTCTAGGCGATTGGCATTTTTAAATTGTTTCGCTTGCAAATCCTCCAACAGGACATATTCCATGCCATGATCACGATCAAAAGTGTAGGCTTTGGGAGCAAATTGCACCGTTTTACCAGCCTCGGCATATAACTTTTCAAATTTGGGTAGTATTTTGTGATACAACTCTTCTTCTTTGGGGAATAGGCGTAGTCTCTCCAAAATGCTGGACATCATTTCATTGACATGATGGGCTTTTAGGAAGAATGTTGCGGATTTTGTGGTGCCATCTGTAGAGAAAACATAGTTCATTAAATGAAACCCAAAAATGGGAGAGATATAACCGAAATGTAGGTTTTTGGGGCCGTAGAAGAATCGCTGCATTTACAATGTGTTAAATATTAGAATTTCGGGGGTCAAAGGTCGACATCCTGCTTTAACACCTTTTTATCCTCGTCTATGTACAAACATTTTATTTATCCTTCGTATTTTTTTCCAAATGCCAAAGTAAGTGACAGTTTGTATCAATTTTTTTTAATTTCTTGAACTCACCTTCCATTTCCGCATCGGCCTTAATGCGAATAATGAGCGAGGAGTAATTTTCACCCTGTTTTGTGTCATTTTCTATGGTGAATTTTGTAAGTTTTTTGAACTCTCCAATTTGCTGTTCAATCGCTTTGTTCAACGTTACCTTGTCCAGCCATGAGGGAAGATCGCTGTCGATCGTCTGACCATTCTCACTTGTTGCCATTCTGAATCTACAAAGTGAACCGTTATTTTTTTATTAAATTTCATTTGAAGTGCAGTTCAGGAGAATTGTTAACAAAACAAAATCGATAACAACAGAATGAATTTATTTGTTAAATAAATTTGATAATCGTAGGAGTGCATGATTGCAATTGGACGCAAACAGAAGTTAATGACTATATATAACAATATATAACAGATAAAAAATAATCCCAGCAAAGAGCTTGATGAAAAGTCCTAATTGCTGCCAATGGATATATTTCCAAGCCTATGGCTATTAAAATAGGAATCTTATGTTTAAAGTTTAGATCAATATCTAAGTTTTATAAACATAGTACGATAAGCAAAGTATGGACAAAGTCGCATTCCTACTTTTGAGAGTTTTCGAGTCCACAAACTGGTTAGACTGGAAATGTCTTGGGACGGATTTCGGACGAATTAGGACGAATTAGGATCGCTGTTCATGTGTAGTACAATTATCCAAAAAGTACTTAGAGGTACAGAAGTGGGTATTGGGTGAAGGGATAGAGGTGGAATCGCGAAATTTGATATTGAGATCTCTGTTGGTATATGGGATTGAGATATGGAGTTGATTTTGCAAATATGTGTACTATACTTGCGCGAAAAGTACTAAATAATACTAAATTTGGAATTGGGCGAAGAAATAAGCTGAAAACCTGAAATTTGATAAAGATGTCACTGTTGATGTCTGTGGTTAAAATATGGAGGTGATATTGGAAATGTGTACTATAATCGTTCGAAAAGTACTAAATGGTACTAAAGTGGGTATTGTGTGGCAAAAATCATCAATATATAGAATATCGGGAGGTACCGCTATATGGGGCTATACAAAAACGTGAACCTATACATACAATGTTTCGCCAACGGAGCTAGAACACATAAGGACACACAAATACCAATTTTTAGACAAATTCGTGAAGAAATGTACCATAACGTGGACCTATACATACAATGTTTCGCCACCGCTGCCAGAACCCATTATGACCAACAAATACCAGTTTTTAGACAAATCTTTGAAAAAATGTGGCGAAAATCATCAAATGAGGACTATATCAAAACGTGGACTGATATATCTCATTTTCAATACCAACCATCCTAGACACAATACAAATTGTTCTGCTAAATTTTGACGCTCTACGTCAAATAATGTGGGCTGTATCGTGATTTCAACAGACAGACGGACATCGTTAAATCGAATTTAGAATTTTATGCTCATTATGAATTAATGTACTTTACAGGGTCTACGGCGAATATTTAGGGATGTTACAAACGGAATGACAAACTTAATATATCCTCCTTTCCAAGGTAGACGGTAAAAAAAAACAAGTAAAAGTGTATCAGTAAGTTTTGCCGATTTTCCATATTCATCACAGGTTCTTGGTTGAGAGAAATCTTTAGATATAGAAAGTTGTAAGGAACCGCTGATTGTTTCACAAGTTATGGCATATAAATTTATTGAAAATTGTCACCCTTTGTGGGTGAGGAACCAGAAGACGGGTTTGCAGATAAATATCATCTTCACAAAATATCTTGATATCTTCACAAAAAATGTTTGTGTGTGTGAAATTTGAAGAGAGTTGGATGCTTATTTCGCTTTCTGTGAGCGTTTTGTTTTTTAAAATCTTGAACCCTTTGTGGGGGAGGTACATATGTGAGATGTACCAAGTCTGAATGGATTTGAAAAATTTTGACACTTTGTGGGGGAAGTACTTGATAGAGTGCCTCGATATTTTCCATCTTCGACTCTGACATAGCACTGATATAAATATTAGGATTTGCAAAATTGGAGCAAAATCGGATTACCTTTTCTCTTTCTGTACCGAAAAATATTTTTTTGGAAAATGTTGACCTTTTGTCATTTGGCATCTCCGAACTTGATCTAAGTTTGATAATAATATTACGATGTTCCAAGTTTGAGCCAAATCGAATTGTGCGCACAGACAGACGAATGGACGGACATCGCAAGATCGACTCCAAATATCCTGAAACGTATTTGGTCCAAAGAGACCTAGCGTCTAAAACCGTTATTTTGATGAGGCACGTTTTGGCCGTATCAAATGATATATACCCTCTCTAGCCATATGACTGAGGGTATAACTAGAGCTTAAAAATTATTTTTTTATTCGGATATGTTTAATTTCAGATTTTTAAGTCTGATTGATAGAGCCATAGAAAATTGTATGTGAAATTGTCGAGCATTCCATAATCAATATTGTTCATTGGTGTAGGACATATTTTCGCAATCTATTTGTGTGAACATTCCATAACTTAGCGACATTGCGGTAAATAGAATCACGTGGGCGCTTGTAGTGAATATAGTTCTGCGTACAATTTTTGGAGTTGATGATGTTTTTAAGTAATTTTTGTGATTTTGATCAAAAATAAATTTGCGTTAAACAATTTTATTGTTTTAAGCTAATTTCACTTATTAGGAGTAATAAATGACAAAATTACTTGAAGTTAAATAAAAAACTTTATTAAATAATAAATATAAACAAAACACGTTCTAAACATTTATATCCCAGCTATTATTGGCTAATAACACTGTTGTATTCATTTTGACATTGAGTTTGCATTGTATCTTTTATACTTTTATTTTTGAAATTATTTATAGTCGCTGATGACCGGAATCATTAGATGCAATTATCTTTCTCAGCAACTGGTAATTAACAACAACAACGACCGCAATAGGGAAAATTACTTTTTTCTATTTTTAAAAAAATGATAATTATATAGTACTTGTAATTACTTTGTAACACCACTTCACAGATGAAAACACGTAACTGAACTTTTTTATCGATTTTGAACTTTCGCCCGATACGCCTATTCCACCAGTTCCTAGGTTCTTTACAAAAGAACTTACCAAATCAAACTGTGAGGGCCGTGGAGAAGACCAAAACATTTGCTAATTGCTGAAATGAAATCAAATCAAATGAAATGAGTAGAGAAGATTGATTGCATTTCTGTCACACCTTTGGATTTTACGTCAGTTGACGGAATTGGTGTGGACGGAGGTGAAAGAATTGTAACATAAAGTTCGCATAGCAGTCATGTTTAAACGATTAGCGATAATACTGGAACACACGGGGGAACACAGTGGTCTCGACAGGAAATAAAATATGTTGTAGTGAAACATACAAATGAATGAGAGAAAATTGAATGAAAATAACATAGTTGCTTGACGTTATTGAATAATGTTGAGTGCTTAATACCTAAACAATAATTAAAAACATAATTTATTGCCTGGAAATTGTTATCATTTTCGCATTATCCACAAACAGCTAATTTTCAATAAAGTCAGAAAATTCTATAGATTTTCGAATTTTAGTCGTCTAAGAAATGAACAAAATTCGTTTGGAGACATTTCACAAGCAAATCAACCGTGCGAGGACCTGACACACGCTATAGTACCCATTAAGACCTTTACGTACGAAATTTCAAACAATTCCTTTGTATAATGTCGCTAATATCATCAAAATAAAAAAAAAAAAAAAAAACCGTAAAGAAAGTCTTAAAGTCGGGCGGGGCCGACTTTATGATACCCTACACCACTTTGCTAATTTTGTAGAACTCCACATAAAAATTAAAAGATTTGATAGGAAAATTTAATCATACACGCTATGATTATAATTGTAATTTAAATTTCAAAGGACTAAATATGTCGAAGCATTTGTATCTTTTAAATTCGGACTTGTATTGCCCATTTGGTGCAAAATTAAATTGAACTCAGATAAAGATATATATGGGAGCTATATCCAAATCTGAACCGATCTCGATAAAATTTAGCAAAGGTATTTCTGAGCCGCATTTGATATATTTCCCTGAATATCGTTGTTACGGAGTGCATATTACGTCTGTGGGTAACAAATACAACAAATCGGATGACCAATATATATGGGAGCTATAACTATATCTGACCACTATGTGGTGTAGGGTATAAAAATAGGTACCGTTATATGGGGGCTATACGAAGGACTTAAACCTGCACAGACAATCTCCTGTCATAGGGTGCAGTTTCAACTAAGAATTTCAAATTTGAAACAATTCCGGTGAATAATGTAGTTATTCAAAGTACCGAATATCGGCAGGTACCGTTATATGGGCTATACGAAGACGTGGATCTGCACATGAATGAATGAAAAAATGTTGGAAATAGCATCAAATTTTAGAATAAGTTTAGATTTGTTCGAATTGGTCACCATTGGCACGAATTATGGCCTTCAAACGGCCAATGAAACGTTGCTTGAATGTAGCTCTGCGACACTTTGGTATTTGTAAGTGCCAAACTTGCTTTTCAAAATACTCCAGACACAATAGTCCAACGGATTGGTATCCGGAGGTTTTGGTGGCAATTGTGCGCTGGAAATTAAGCGTGGAATCTCATTAATACAACCTCCATTATTCTATTGAGAGAAATCTCTTTAATACAACCTCCATTATTCTATTGCCACAGTCGATTAATACGAGCGGAGAGCGACCAACTTAGTTTATAGTTTTCATTGTAGTGTCATTAATCGTTCTCTCACTCACTCGTATTTATAATTTCTGTGCTCTTTGTTGTTTATATGCTTTGGTTTGTTGTGAACGTTCATTGATGAACGAACGCGGTTGCCATTTCGTTAAAAGATGAGGACCTATAAATACGAGTGAGTAGGAGGATAATCAGTCAAGAATCGTAGAAGCGATAAGGATTTTACGGGAATGTCGGCTTGGCTTTAGGTCTGGTCTATCCACGACCCATGTCTTAACGGCTTTTAGTTGCTTTGTTGGCTAAGGCTTCTACAGGAAGTACGGAACTAGAGCCATCTCCCTAGATATCGCAATGACAATTTCATAAAATTTCATAAAAAATCCAATCTGTTGGCTTTGACAGTCAATCCTATAGAATGGTCGCTAGTTTTCTTAGCGATCGATTATTCAGGATTCAGGTTTCCACATAGTGGTAAGCGTATTGTGTCTTTGTGCATTTGTTTGTAACATGGAGAAGGAAGCGAGATAAACCCATAGTTAATTTTGAGGATCTTCATAGAATCACTTTCTGAATCGATTTATGCCTGTAAGTCCGTATGTCCGTCCGTCCATCTATCGATGTTTTTTGTGAACAAAATACAGGCCGCATTTATTATCCGATTGAGATGAAATTTTCCAAAAATTATTTGTTTGGCCCAAGGACGAACCCTCTTGAAATTGGTGATAATCAGATCAGATTTAGATATAGCTTCTATATAAATCTATGACAGATTTCGTGTTTATTGTGCACCGAATGGCCAATATCAGTCCAGTCTAGATACATCAAATTGGGTGAAAATAAGTCAGATATAGATATAGCTCCCATATGCATGTATCATCCGATTTGGTGTTTAAGCCCCTCACATTCCTTGTATGCACACACAAGAATGATATTTGGTATCGGATATCAAATACAGTCTAGAAATACCTCTGTCAAATTTTATCGTGATCGGATCAAATTTGGATATAGCTCCCATACATATCATTAAACGATTTCACGTTTATTGTCATCTCAAATGGATTGAATTTTGGCAATTCCGACTGAATTCATCCTAGAAATAAGTATATTTTAAATTTTGTGAAAATCGGTTCAGATATAGCTAGAGCCCCTACATATATCTTTCAACCGATTCGGATTTAAACTCCCTCACGTGCGCAATATGCACTCTACAACAATCGTATTTGATTCCGGACATCAGATACAGCTCGAAAATACCTCTGGCAAATTTTATCGAGATCGGTTCAGATTTCCATATAGCTTCGATATACATCTTTATCTGACTTCACGGTTATTGCTCATCTTCTTCTTCTATATCTATAAAAGAGGAAAATGTTTGTATGTTTGTTTGTTTGTTTGTTTGTAATTTATGGACTCGAAAACCGCTGAACAGATTTTCCTGAAAATTTACATGTATACTGCAACATCGCCTGAAAGTAACATAGGCTATATACATTTTTGAAATTCCACTTGGACGTGGAGATATAGCATCAGTATCGGAGGTACCTCCCAAAAATTTTGATTTTGTATGCACATATCTTTTGATCGATTACAGATACAATCTCCAAATTTGGAATGCGTAACGGAATTTGGAACAAAAATAAATTTGTCAAATTATATTGATATCGGTTCAGATTTGGATATAGCTCCCATATATATTTTCGGCCGATTTCAAGCATTTGATGCACCATACATGCTATGTATCCCAAATTTCAATGAAATTTGAAACGTGTGATGGATTTTATCTAAAAAATTGATTTCTCAATTTATATTGAAATCGGTTCAGATTTGAATATAGCTCCCATATATATATTCGACCGATTTCGTTCATTTGATGCCTCAAACACGATATGAATGTTCGATACCAATGAAACTTGGAATGTTTAACGGGATTTGATCCGAAAATAAATTTATCAAATTATATTTAAATCGGTTCAGATTTGGATATAGCTCCCATATACATTTTCGGCCGATTTCACATATTTGATGCACCCAAAGCGAGAGAGACGAAATCTGGCACCAGAAAAAATTGCCAAATTAAATTGAAATCGTTTGAGGTTTTGGTATAGCTAACATATATATTTCGGCCGACTTCATACATGTTATGTACGAAACACGATATATATGACCGATTCCAATGAAATTCAGAATATGTGTCGGAATTTGGTTATAAATGTGATAAATTAATTGGAAATTAGTTAATACTTGGATATAGCTCCCATATATATATATTCTCGGCCGATTTCACATATTTGATGCACCAATTTCAATGAAATATGAAAGTTGTGGCGGAATTTGGTGTAAAAGTTAATTTTTTTAAATTATATTTACATCGGATCAGATTGGGATATGATTTTATTAAGAACCATTGACCCACAACGCCTTAGGCTAACACTAAAAAACAACACAATAGTTAATTTGAAATACGCTTATTACGGGGAAGTATGTTGCTACCTCGAATTCACTAATTGCAATAGAAATGTCACTCAACTTCAAAAAATTGCAGTTTCCTGCACGCTTGGTATTTGCTATGAAAAAAATAAATCCGAAGGACAAACCCTTCGTGTATGCATGTCATGTTACTGCTTTTCTATTGGTTTTGTTTATTAACGCATTAAAGTAGTGCAATATATTTTTTTTAATTTTCAAATTTGTTCTTTTTATCCAACATATATTCGTAAATAAAATTTTGAACACATATAAAATGAAAAGGGGTAGCGAAGCGCACCGGGCTCAGCTAGTCATATATGTAATGTCAGCCAAACTGAATAGATTTGGAGATTGGAGATAATCGGTAAAAAATTAGATATAGCTCCCACATATATCTTCGCCCGATTTGCCTTTTATTGTGCACCAAACGTGTAATATCAGCCCGAATAGTATGGAATTTAGCACATACAACCAAATTAGGCCTGAAAATAGGTATGCCACATTTGATCGAAATCGGTTCAGATATAGCTATAGCTCCCATACATATTGTTCATCCGATTTGTTATTTTTGTCCTCCGCAGCCGTAATATGCACTCTGTAACAACAATATTTGAGGAAATATATCAAATGCAGCTCAGAAATACCTTTGCTAAATTTTATCGAGATCGGTCAGATTTGGATATAGCTCCCATATATAACTTCGTCCGATTTACCTTTTATTGTGCACCAAACGTCTAATATTTGCCCAACTGGGATGGAATTTGGCACATGCGACTGAATTAAGTCTAGAAGCTAGTATGCCAAATTTGGTGAAGATCGGTTCAGATATAGCTATAGCTCTCATATATATTGTTCATCCGATTTGTTGTATTTGTTACCCACAACCGTAATATGCACTCCGTAACAAAGATATTCAGGGAAATATATCAAATACCGCTCAGAAATATGTTTGCCAAATTTTATCAAGATCGGTTCCGATTTGGATATAGCTTCCATATATATCTTTATCCGATTTCAAATTAATTGTGCACCAAATGGGCAATACAAGTCCGAATTTAAAATATACAAATGCTTCGGCATATTTAGTCCTTTGAACTTTAAAATATAATTATAATCATATCGTGTATGATTGAATTCTTCCATAAAAACTTTTAATTGTTAT